ACACTCCATGATACAGATTAATGTTACAGTGGCCTTATTTATTGTTTTATAATACAAATTCACAAAATTTACAGCATTCATTTTGAAAAGAAGCCTCCTCTTTACTTTACCAATGTAGTCTCGAAAAGGAGCCCAACTCGAAAGAAGCCCATCCAAAGTTCGCAAAAAAAAAAAAAAAAAAAAGCTCAGGGCTTCAATTAGAGGTTTTACGGTATTATAGTACAATACCGGTATCACTTGTGCGTGCTTTCTTTGTAATTTGAGAAGTATAAGAAAAGTATAAGAATTTCTGCCTACGAAGTAGGTAAAGTAAAGTAAATAGACTTTTATTTTCTATGGTACAATACAGAGATTAATTAGATCTCTATGATAGCCGAAAATCACTATTAAAATATCATGGTGATTTTGATGGCAACTTTTATTATATAAGAGTGTCATTTCCGGCCAGGTACTATTTCCTCAAATGTTCGTGCCTCAACCAGGACCATGTCTTTGTGGTCTAACGGTATGACACTCGCATTGGTAGCGAAAGGCTGCATGTACGAATCCCTCCAGAGACAATTTTTGATACAACTGAAAATTTAAAAAAAATCGTTGAAGGGCTGCTTCATATGATTATGATATCACATGTTCCTATCCGAACACTGGTTATAATTTATCTACTTTTAGTTTTTTTTAAATTTTTTTTTATAGATATTGTTATACAATAGTTAGTCTACTCTATTGTTATTAGCAAGTTCGTTAGAAGATGTGCTACACAATCCGATCATTATCACCTCGGAGACAATAATAGCATAACATAGTCGTGCTTCTCGTTTATATCTTATCCTATTGTTCGTTGCATATAAAATATGTCTACAGTACTTTGATTAAGCCTAATTGCCAAAGAATTGATATTAAATCAATATCTGGCATGCTTATCGTGGTACGTTCACAAATATATAGCTAGAGGCATTTTTTTTTATTAGTATTTTGTAATAATGCAATAGACATTCAGTGTACTGATATCAATATTGTGTAGTGTAAAATGATCAATATAGTTGGTCATATACTGTGAACATGTGATATTGCGTTTTAGTTAAACAAGGTTATTTATCTGTTATTAGGCAGTTTTCGCCGCACGACGTTAACCTTAACGTTAACAGATGACGTCATAATTTATTCCTCTTGCGTTGCGTTCATCTTGAGTACGTTAATTTCCGGATTTTACGTGCTTGACGTACGTTAGTTACGGGTTTGCACATGCGTATTTTGATTTGTTTAAAAAAGGGGCGGAGCCATCCCGCTGCATGTTGGGTACTAACGTAAAAGTTAGGGTTAACGTCGTGCGGCGAAAACTACCTAATGTCAGCTCATTCATCGCAAAGGCATACGCATAAGCAACGGCTGTAAGGCAACAACGCAATGTTCAGACCACTATCGAAACGTAAGTATCTATTGTAGACTTTGATATATTCTTGTTACACACTTTTTACGGATTATTATCAATCAGTGGGCATTTTGTATCTGAAAAGAAAAATATATATGTTATATTAAGTAGTAGCAAGTTGCAACGTCTTTTTTCAAGACTGCAAGCATTAGGTAACACAAGAGCTTTCTCATTGGTCAAGCTAAGTCAAGTATAATGCGTCCGTTTTTAACATTAATTTGTTCAATATAAAATGAGTGCCAAGCGTACTCCAAGATTGGGCGTGATAACGGGTTAAATCCTTTCAGCATATAGGCCCTACTTTAATATATATAACGTAAAATACACATTTTTTTTTTGTAAGAACCAGTAAAATTTTGTCCAGACTCAGTGTTCTTATCTTTTTGCCGAATCAAATTCGGTGCTGTTTACACCGGCGACTCCGGAATGCACCCGGGTTGTCCTACGCTGAAATGTGTCCCGCACGTCCCTCCCGGAATGTTTGGCAACCCGAGTAGGACTTTTTGACGCTTACACTAACCACAACTCCAGAGATTTAAACCCGGGTATTGGAAAATCCCGTTACGTCAGGAATTTTGCTTGCAGTGTAAAAGGGGTATTACAGGTACTATATATATTAACAGTACAATTTAAACATTCGTCTGATCAAAGTGGGGTTGCCAATCGATCTTGTCTAATTTTTCTCTACCAAAATATTTTACAACTTTCCTAATTTACATAGTCGAGAGCCAATCAGCATTTAGAATTACTTTGGGAAGAAATGTAATTAAAGCCCCATTCCCGGCAAAATTTCACTAAAAACTGACTTTATTTTAGAAAATATGCATTTGCATTACTCCAATTATTATAAATCATGGAAAAATATTGGCATGAATTTTAGTTTTACGCAAAAGAATAAAAAAAATGAGAAATACAGACTATTTCTCATAAAATATTACCGTACCATTTTCTCGACGAATTCATCGTTACTAGGCAAATTCAGAGGTTGTAGATCGCATCCACTGGAATACTCTCGCTTTTATGTATACTTTATACAGTCAATAAAGTGCGCCCTCTCTAGTGAGATACTTTTTGTACTTCGCATCTTCATTCTTAGGAATGTCTAAATTCAGTTAAACTAGCAATTCCGTATTATATTTATAAATCTTTATAACATTATACAAAAATTAGATTTTTTTTTAAATTGAAATTTTGCCGGGAATGGGGCTTTAACATATCAGGCAAGAGCCAATCGGCGTTTAGAATGATAACTTTGGGAAGAAATCTTAATTAAGATACAAGGCAAAAGCCATCAGCATTAATGGGTTAACCCATTTTACACAAGGGTAAAATTAAGCAAGATAGACTACCAATTTCGTTACATTATATTATTTGGCCTAATTTCAGTTTATTTTATGTCATTTAATTCCATATCTTAAAAAAAAAATATTTTTGGACACACAAATTTGGTGTAACTAACAATTGAATTTCATTTGATTCGTTTCTATTGCTCTTCCTATTCGCAGATGCCATATACCTATGCTGGCTTTACATAGTAAGCGTATTGTTGGGAATTCCATGTAGAGCACAGAGTAAGTTCTGAGTTGTTACTGTAGTTATTGTATTTCAATTCACTCCTTTCTGTATTATTATTATTATTATTATTATTATTATTATTATTATTGTTATTGTTGTTGTTGTTGTTGTTGTTGTTGTTGTTATTGTTATTGTTATTATTTATTTATTAGTTATTATTATTATTAGGCCTAATTATTAATTTTATCCTCATCATCATCATTATCATCATCATTATCTTCATCACTATTACCATCATCATGTTCTTAACCATATTATAGTGGGTTACCCGTCCAGTGTATCCCAGGGCATGCTTAAATAAAATGAAATAACATGATGCTGTACAGGCAAAGTTTCATTACGAGGCTTAGGTAGTGGAAATGTTTTTAGTCGTGAAAAAAAAATATCTTTGTACCGTCACAGGATTTGAACCCAGGACCGTGGAATTGGCCAACAAGCAACATCATTATTTTCATCATTCATCATTATCATCTTCAGCATCATCATAATCATTGTGTCATCATCATCATCATCATCATCATAATCATTTTTATCATTACCAATACCATTATAAATTATACGATTATGTTACCAAAAGAATAATTAGCTGATAGCGTTGATAACGATAATTTTAAATAACAGCTCAAAAGTTAGTTTAGTCGCCGCCTATTTGCGGTCATGACATGTGTGTTACTTCTAAATATGCATTATATTCTTTTAAATTTAACAATGTACCTTTTTACTGCAGCATCATGGTTGCTCTTCCATCAGTTTTGTACCAAAGGGCAAATACACATTCGATACTCGGTATTTGCAGACTTCCAAAATTAAATGCAAACAGACATAGCTGTTTCCCTTTGCCAGAATTGTGAGCTCCACTTAGCAAATGAATGGAATAAAAACCTGAAATAAATACCATTATTTAGTTATACACACAATTGTGAAGTACTATTAAAATTAGGCCTAAGTTCATCTATTTATAAATTTAAATTATGCATTACACTGACCATATCTTATAGGCCTACCATTGAATGCGTGAGGATGAATTATTAAACACACTATGCCGAACAAGTAGGCCTAGGACTGGCTGTGCGCCTGGGCTATCAGGCCTAGTGGCCAGTGGCGTATCTAGCAGTATTAAAATCTGTCTCTTATACACATCTTTGGGTACAGAAATATGAGGGGGCGTGGAATTTGTTTTCGGTGGCCACGCCCACTGAAAAATATTGCTTCTTAAGCCGAGCCTAATTTTTTTGCTTCGAAGTTTTCGAATGGGGGTTGGGGCGCAACCATTTTGTGGGGGGGGGGGCGTGGGCCCCCACCCCCCACGCACCTTTGATACGCCACTGCTAGTGGCTAAACGTAGGCCTAGGGAGGCCTACCTTTACTCAGCGCAGATGACTTTACTCAGCCCAGATGACTTGTGTGACGTCATTACGTGTTACGTCCTACCGTCGTCGTTTTGTCAAAAGCTCTCTATTTCAAGAGTATAAGCTATAACATAATGAAATGCTGGTAAGAATATATCTCGGTATTTTTTTTTTTATTGAAGATAAATTTCTTTGCAACCAATGAAAAAAAAAAATGATTAAAAAAGTCAAAATGTTTAAATATTTAATTTTTATAAAATGTTAATAAACAATATTTTACATGAAACCACCCAGTAATTCAAAATTACATGTATAATGATCGAGTCCATCGAACCGGCTAAATCACGCTGCAGGTTTCGAAAAATAACTGAACGTTTTTAAACTGCTCGTAACAAAAAAACTAAACGCTTAATTCTAACTATGTTTACATATTACAAATCAGCAAAGATTTCTCTTACTTTTGATACAAAAATGGTAAACTTTATTATGCAAGTATTAGCTGAGAAATTGCTGTTTTTCTGTCAACTTTACACCAGCACGAGCCGCCTATCGACGAGAACTGCCGCTTATCCTTTACCATTAGTCGATGTGTGTCAGATCGAGTCAATGTCCCTAAAGAAATGGGCGTTCCGACGAGACCTCTCATCCAATCAAATTGATTTTTAGCTTAACTGACAGCTTGAATAGTCTATTTTTACATACCGAAACAGCCGTTAAAATCGGCCCACTGGTTCAGAAGTTAGAATGATTTTTGTAAACATGATCGCAAAATTGTGTAAACAGATAGGAGTTAATACACTGGGCGATCGCCAACTGACTTGGCTTAAAAAAAAGATTCCGACGACACCTCATTGATTTTAAAATTAAAAATAACATGACATTATAGCTGAATAAATAAGGAACAAGTTGCAAAAACAGCCAAAATATTGGTCTAATATTAACGAAGATACAATAAAACTGCTCAAAAAGGGCTGATTTTCAGTGATTTCGCACCGTTTGGCGATTTCGGGCCGGATTTTTGGAACACAAAACAACAGCTGTATTCAGGGACACCACTATTAAGGGGGACACTTTTTTAAAGCCAGATACTCATTGCCGGCGTGATGATTCTATGAGCAACGTAACGCGACGACGCGTGCGCAATGGATCGTTTATAAATGACGATGAGTTCAGACGGCATCGCGTCGTCTTGCGCTCACGTTGGCCGACGCAGTGAGTGCCGGACTTTAAGCATAAAAACTTCAAGGAATGAATATTATACACGTCACTGTGTAATTATTTGTAGGAGTTTAATGGAAACACGGATGGAAGTTCAAGAGTGACTAATACATTCTCTATTATCTTCGCTCAATTCGTCCGCATCAATCCAACCAATAGGGGACGGAGCATCTACTCTTTAATATTTGAACTTTTGGGCCTTGTATTTGAATCAATGCAAGAATAAAACAAGTGATTGATAGTAGATTCTGTGGAGTTTAATACATTTACATTTACTGTCAACCTGAACATACAAAATACTATTTAATAGTTGTTCAATTAAAATGCGCTATTTTCAAGTCTGTATTGGCTTTCTAGCCACGCTCCACCCTTTTTGCACAGACTGTGGATTTTAGCAGCGCTTTTGTATTAATGCCTTTTCACACGTAGTCTTAGCTATTGTATAGTTTTCAACCAATCACCAGCAAGTCTCACCAACCAAAACATAAAGGTATATCATTGTTTTGGGGTTTCTGCAGATA